CCCCCGCTTTTTAGTGTACAGCTTTGTGAGTTTTGATAATCATATACCCACGTTTAACCACCACCACAATCAAGATGTGCAGGTCTCCCCACCCGCAAAATTACCTTGTGACGAAGCCCCTTTGCTGCCAGCGCCTTTCGCCACGCCAGTTCCTGACACTCCTGATTGTTTTCTATAGTTTTGCCCTTTCCATGGAGAATGTCACAAAAATGGAATCATATGGTATGGAGTCTTCTGAATCTGGCTTCTTTCACTTAACACTGCTGTCTTTTGAGACTGGGCTTCATAGTAGATTATATCATGAGCACTTTAATTTGCAAGCTGAGGTTGGAATTCAGACCCTGTCTGTGATGCCAGTTCTCTGTTTGCTCAGGAGCCAGAGGCTCGAGGAGGGGATGACCTGTAATCCTGAAAAGTCTTGAAGATGGTACCTTCTTTATACTAGGTTACTTTATTTTCCAGACAGAGAGCATCTGTGGTTTGGGGGAGGGTGAGGTTGGAGATAGGCAAGGACACTTGCTTGGAGTCGAAAGGGCCATGAAACCGCCCAGCTCCCTGCAGCTGGAGCTGTGGGAGCATGGGAAGCCCCTCCCCCAGCAGTGGGGAGGACTCCTGGGCCCCCCAAACACCACAGTCACATGGATTTGGCAAAGGTTTGGCAAGGTAGCAGTTTGTCACTTCTCCTTAAGGGAAAGTGTTGTGTGTGTGAAATGCTGGAAGAGTGTGCTGAAAACAAGTTTCCCCAGAAGCTTCCTGTAGACTGAAAATGAGTCTCCTCAGAAGCTTCCTCCTGGGAAAATAACTTGTTTTAAATCACTCCTCCATCTTCGAAACTTTTCTTGTGAGATTTAGTTTTGTAGAAAACATACTTCAACGCCTCCCTACCCAATTTTCCTGGATTTTCCTCCCAAATGCTTTTTTTCTACTGTCCATTTCCACTGACATTGCCTGGGTGACATACTCTGGGTGAACGCAGTAACCCTTTCATTTCTCACTTCCACTCTGGACTCCACAATCCATACAAGAGCAAGAGGTTTTTGTTTGTGTGTTTCTTTGAAGGCAGACCTTAGCTTGTCCT